GAAATAGTTTCATCGCCTTGCTTCTCATCATTCAACATCAGTGGAACTGATTTTTCACTCTGTTCGAATGGCTTCACAATTTCATCCATTTCAGCCGCGTTAGTACAATGCGAATACAAATCACTAATCTTCAGTCGCAAACGACTCTCCTGCAATTGAACTGCTTTTCTCCTCCGCAGCTGTCAATCCTTTTCTCTTTCCGTCAGCTCAAATATCGATGGCTGTTTTAAACAATGAAACCATTCCACTATCATTGATTCAAATAGAAATATGTATTTAAAACACCACAAAAGAAATAAAAGACTTATAAAACTTACGTATCGTTCCAGACTGAATGTTGTGTGATAGAATAAACGACAACATTTCTCATAGGGAAACAAAACCAGCAGACATGCATTCAAATAAGGGATGAAATAGCGGGCGAGCAGTTTGAGTGCTTTCACGAACTGTTTCTGAAATTTTCCTTCAGTTTTCCAAACGCAATCAACAAAACACTTTTAATCTGTAATATATGTCAACCGTACGAAATGCGAAACATACGAAATAATGCCCATCTGTTTCGCAATGACACGCAAACTTTTCAAACAAAACGCCCAACTTGAGCCACTTCACCATTTTGGATTTGATAAAAGTAAATAAAAAATTCGATAAAAATATACTCTACATAACATACTTGATGATCTTGTTTCAGTGCATAAAGGTCCAGCCATGTGAAAAGAGCTCTCAGTGAGTCGCTAAGGGCTTCCAAAACGCCCGCTATCTAAACGAATAAAATGAGAAGAAGAATGTGAACGAAAGGCGTGCATAGCAAAAGCTCATTCAAATGCGGAGCCAATCTATAAAATCTCAGAAGTCAACAATCCGCTCTCAGAAAGATGCTGAAATTCAAAACTATCTAACATGCATAGGTGAAAGACCATCTCGTAGTTCATTGAACGCGTCCAAAATTTCGTTTCCGTAAACACACAGATCATCCCACATTGACAACTGCGCTGGAGGAGTTGGTTGTTCAGCTGAATGGCCGTCAGATGGCGAAGTGTTCGAAATCGCCGCTGTCATCACCATTTCCGGTAGGTCACCTTCTATTAGAATGGACTCCAGTTGACAGAAACTGAAAGCATACGAACCCTTGGAGACTCACAATCAAATTACTCAAAATATGATAGGGAAGCTATTTCTGAAACACATAATCACAACTTACAAAAAATGCTGGATTAAAAATCAACTCCTCAATGAGAATATTTACCTGGAAGCAGCATTTGCAGTTCTTGCTTTGAATCGACTCAGCACAAAATCGTTCATAACATTCGTGATCAACGGTCTAAAGTCTAGTCCCATACGTCCAAAAGACATCGCGAAACTCATCAACTTACTCGTCAATACACCAACATCCACACCACTTTTGTGTTCGACTTTTCTGAAGGATTGAAAAACCTTCATTCGGAAACTCTATCAAAAAACGTAAATAAAACTGTCATATAAATTCATTTTTTCAACTAACAAACAAATATATAGCACATATATTACAGTTCTCAAATTTCTAATTCTTCCGAATATCACATTTACTGCAGAAAATTATGTCGACACGCTGGAATTCATCTTCACCGACTGACTCTTCATAAGCTACTTGAAACCGTTAAGGTTAACCTCTTAATTCGTAACATTTGAAAGTCGCGCACTCACCTTATGTGGTCGAACATCGCGTCAACGTTATGAATGGCCCATTCAGAAAGAATTGCCGATGGGCCACAATGTTGCCAAACGTCCCATCTTGGATCAATTGACGGCTGCAATTGCACAAATTAATGGCCAGACATTTCACTATCTATAATCTAACATCTGGTCTCTTGGGCAGAAGTTGCGAGTGAAAGTTTTGAATATCTTCTGCGTTCATCATGGTGCATAAGTTCCAAAAATAAGACTCTCAACGAATCCAATTAGACTCTCTTAGAAATTCAGATCTATAAATTAGAAATCAGAACAACGAACATCACGTTTGATGATTTCACCTTCTGGAAATACAGCCAGATACAAGACCATTGTATCGTACATACAATCACGATATACCTCGACCATACGCAGTAAGAAATCCGGTTGAGACTATAACATAACCGCATCAAAAGTGGATGATAAGATTTGAAATAATTGGTGATGTTCAAAGTTCATTCAAATCCATACCCTTATGTCGATCAGCTGTTTCTCCAAATACAAATCTCGATATTGTAAAATGGAAACACGTAATTGGGTGGCTGAAAGGTAGGGTATTTTGCGGATACTGTTCACCACCTGAATACTACTAGCCAAATCAATTGGACCCGCAAAGCGATTGAACAACTCATCCAGTAAATAGTGCCGAGCATCGATCAACTTATCAGCGACAGCCTGCAACAAGTCGACAATTTCAGGGCAAAAGAATGAAATTTATGTAAAAAAAAAGATCCCATTACGACAATTCAATGAAACCTACTTTGATAGCCGTATTTGCTGTCAGACCATGTTGCTGCAACTGGATACCATAATTTGTTAGCGAATAGGCAATCTCGTAATATCCAGCACGAATACAAACATCCATCAACTGAATTAATCAACAACGATAAATGATCAATAAATTTGAAGCAAATTACTGAGATGAGAGAGAGAAAATGTGTGAGAACCTCGATTCCATTCATATGAATAGATAAATGCCGAAATCAAACATGGAAAAATCATCAAGTCGAAATTGCGACTCACGACAAAACAATAATTTCATTTATTTACAAATTAGTTTTGGAGAAGAAAAATAAGAAAATATTACATATGCACACATACCGAGCGCAAGCCGAGGATATCCCATAATGGTGAACTTTTGGATTCAGCGGATTTCAAATAGCCGATTTCCTCGGAAATTTCGTCACTTCGTTTCGAGAACTCTTTGAAGCATCCTCGCAATTTATCGATTTCTGAATCGATCTTATCTACTTCACCCGTTGCTTCACCGAACTGCAATGTTTACAATACAGTTATAAATATCAAAAAGTTTCAATCAACTTTATGAAAGAAATTAATTTCAGGAAAGAATTTCACTATTTGCGATTTCGGGAATACATGAAATTTAAAAGGCGTACCAAACGGTTCATAAATCCAAAAATGGTACCTTTTTACGGCAATATTCAGTTGTACTACCCGCATCTGCATATGTTCTATAGTTATCGAAAGCCAAGTCACTTATCTGCTGTTGAATGTGAACAAGTTTTGAATTTATACATTCACGTTGCTGACCTGAAAACAGTCTTAATTTGAGAACAGTCTTAATTCCCAGAACCAAATGTGCAGTCATAAAATTAATTCTTCACATTTCCAATGGACTCTAATAAAATCACGTTGGCTGACTGGCGATGCCAGTACCTGAATTTCTTTCTGAAGTAATTTCTACGGGTAGTCAAATTATATGGCTGAATTTCTATGAAACAT